ATGTTAAACCTATTAAACCCCATGCACGCACTCACCCTCTTTAAGCAAATATTCATCCACTGAGTTATCTTAGGATATCTGCAAATGCTTGGTGTATCATCTAAAAAAGAAATTCTTTAGTAAAATTTGAAAACCAAGCTTTTATCGGAAATTCTGGCTCCTAGTACTGTATTCCTAAATTTTATCATACCAAAACGTTTTCCATAAGCAAACAAAAGCACAAGGCTTATGTCTGGATTAAAGCTTTCTTCAGTGATTTCATCCTTTTGTTTTTATGCTTGCGGTGCATCAGTGACGAAAGTGACCTCTTCTTGGACCGCGTGGTATATCATGGAAGGGAACCGGCAAAAGGGGACAAGAGAACGTCGGTATCGGGTCGAATGCGTGGCTACGGTTCCGGAAGTGGACAAACTTCAGGCGAGAATACAATTGCAAAGTGGAAGCTGTCGTACGGACAGTGCAGGGACCGTTATTTGTCAAGGGATATGTGAGTGAATTTATCATAACTGGGTCACTTTTGAACACAATCGATCATTTCTGTCCCAACGAAATGTCTCTTTTCATGTCTCTTTCACATTTACCGCTTACTGCACTCTGCATCCTTTAGTTTCCTTTGGTTCGAATAGGTGAACTAAGAGATCTATTTAGTTATATCAACAAATTCCATTTCTTACCTCCGAAGAATCTAAGGACATTATATCTGTCCGGAAGAGTGTAAATGTATGAGGCCTGTTAATGGGGGAACGAACGAGCAAATGATATTCAGCATGTACACATCGATCAAACTCCAGAAAGTTCAGTGTTCATGTGCACGATGTACGATGTCACCTTCTCAAATGAAAATTCTATGCGGACCATATTCCCTGTTCGCACACACTCTTAATGGTATTCATGATCTCTACGGTCATTCTGACGAGATCAAAAAGAATAAGTCTACCTCCCCACTCACCAACTATACGGTTGACCATGGAGAGTTAACTGTCAGCATTCATTCATGTCTGTTATGCGCGTCACGTACTATGGAACAAATCCATGCTTCTGAAGCAAATTGATCTTTTATAACAGGAGAAATATGTGCTAGTGTGATAGATCAAACAAGCGCCTGCGCGTTACAGTTTCCGGACAACGAACCATAGGCCGATCGTGCTGACCAATCAGACGTCGTGTGGTCCAAACATGACGTCGGGAATACGAGCAGGCCATTGGTGGATACCTGTATAACCAATAAATTTCATAAACATGTTATTTAATTCCATTAATTTCTTTCGATAAACGAACTGCTACTTCTGTGGCTATTTTTCCTGCATCTCGGTGACGGAGATTCCAGCGTACAAGTGCTAGTGCGGCTCAGTGTCTCAGTTGCGTCCGTGATTCGTAATCCGTACATACTATGGCTACCATAGCTAGGTTGCACTATTCATGCCGTCTCAGATTGTGCCGCAGCCTCACTGGTACACAGTGGCCGAAGACAACAGTCATCGTAGTTTAACTGTGCATCAGCTGGACATATGGCAGGATCGAAGTTTTATACAATGCCAAGACAGTGGAGAAGCGACTGAAAGTGCCTTTCACACAAACGGACCATGTTATTGTACACTAATTGCAACAGTTTTTTGTCATAGATATTTCTAAAGTATTTTTTCCGGTTCCGACAGTGATTAATCATCAGTAAACATAGGACGACAGAGGAAAAAGTACTTTATGTCCCGTGTTTTTGCGCAAAGGTGTTCGACGTCATCAACAAAAGAATTAATTAATCACTAAGTCAGAAGCAGCCAGTACACCAGTCTCTAGCTTTGTGAAGCGTATATCACTGTTATATCACGTATTCGCTGTGTCCGAGGCGCAGCGATTCTAAACTAGGTGTCATCGCCTGCTTGTACGCTACCGCAGTTGACATGATACGACAAACAAATCCCCAATGTTTTTCGTTTGATGTACCCAAACGGTCACAGAACAAAAGTGTTTAAAATCCCATCAATTCACAATCCAAAATGATCTCAGGAGTTTTCGGATAGACAGATGCTTTGAATCTTATGGAAGAGTGCAGAGATTTTATGCATTAGCGAGATGTATTTTGCAATCAGTTCTTGATCTGGATAGATATTTAATTGTTCTGTGAAAAGCTTTTACTACATAAAAGTTACATTTTGTTATGTCACATCTGGGATTAGTACATCACTACTGACAACAAGGAAAAAATTGAAAAATTGATGTCAATAAATCCCAACCCTACACCAATACAGATCCCAGTCCAACGATAGAGATTTCCCAACCGGAATGGTCATCCCGATCGGACCATGCGTGGTCTGCCTGGACTGGCTGCAGCCGCCCGTGCGGGGGTGGAATGCGAAGTCGGTGGCGTCTTCGAGGACAGCCTAGTGCTGCGAGTCTGTCCGCCGTCGGAAGTAACGACATCGGCGCTCCGGAAGCCGAGAGAGAAGAACAGAGTTGCAATACACATCCGTGTCCAGGTAATCAAACGACTGCCGTTGGCATATCACGGGAGTAATGGTCTTTTACATCACATCGAACAAACAATTTAATCTTACGGTAGCAAGCTTGGATTAGCCCATTCGACTGTTAAGAGGCACTAGGCACTCTTGGGTGTGGGTTTCACTCCATGGGAAGTCGTTGATATCCCACAATTTCATGCATTTACATGCGATGGAAAATTGATTCCGCCATTTGCACAAGGTGATGACCATCGACCGTGTAGCTCAAAGTAAGGGCCTAAAGTCCCAACCTAAAAGTTCACGGTTCCAGTCCTGACAGGGACAAAAAACGTGCGCACAGCTGAAGACGAAACAGCTGTCTAGTGCTCTTTGTCAGTTATCACAAACCTTTCCATCGCAAACAACTTAATCACATTGAACTACAGTTCATTATTTTAGGATGTTACACTTAGAATAACCCGCTTAATTTTAATAGGCTTTAGGCATTGTCCTTGGTCATATTGTACTTTTGAGTGTGTTACTTTTCGTCAACTTCTTTCGCTCCTACAACCTGGATGCATTCTCCTTGTGATGATCGACCAAATGCGTTCAACCCCCTGTTTTTTTCATTTTTATTAGCCTTGTCATAGGTAAGTGTCCTCTTTCCGGGACTCGAACCGTGAACTTTCATCTGTATAGCTGCACTCCTTGCAGTTGAGCATAACGATCGATGGGCCTCACTGCTGTGCCAATAACTATTTTAATTTAGAATGTCGTATACCGATTAGCTCAGAAATGCTCTGATTAAACATCCCAACAGTAATGAAGTTTTGGTCAACTTCTCCTTGTCGTTCATCACCGAATAATTTACATCAGTAGTAAAACATTTCAACGTGTTCCTTACTTTACGCAGATCCGTTCCTAAAGTCCAATCTTGAGCCATTTGTCGATCATCATTCAATACCTTCCCAGTCCCTTTTATTCTGTCAGTACCACAGATTTTGCTTTGTGGAGCTTGCCAACTTTATCTCTGTACCACTCACATTTGCCAGAAATATCTTTTCACAAGCCTTTAGTCTTCTTAACTAAAGACCTCAAAATGTCTGTTGAACGGTGCAATTCAATTTTCTCAAGATCTCCGATGCTCTAGAACACTTTTTCTTTTTCTGCGCTCCCCTGACGTACACTTGTTCCGTGCTCAAGCTCGTAAACATCCAATTGTATTATAGAAATACCTTACCTTATTGCTATGAGTTTTACCACTTTGATGCACATCATGCTTGCGATGTAATACAATTGCTTACACTCCTTTCGTGATCCATCTAATCCTGGTACGGTCATCATCACAGGTCGATGGAGTTGCTGGACTGCTTGGAGCAAATGTACTCATCCACCGTGTTCCATGCAACGGGGAGAACAGAGGCGTTTTCGGAGCTGCCTGATCTCTAGCAGCGTGCACCTGGTTCATGGCCAACAGCCCACGGTCGATCAGTGTGACGGTGGAGAGGAGCACAGTGTACAGTCTCGGCCGTGTGAAATCACGTTCGACGAATTGCAGTGTCAACCGAGTTCAATCACAACAAAGTTTGATATGAAGAAACGAACCATACCAGATGAGCCAGGAGCACAATTAGACTCAAGTCAGTTGTTGTTTGATATTGAGCCAAGTAATCTAATTACTTGGCCAATCAGTTGCGTAAAACCCGGATCAAATAGATGCTTAATAAAATAGTTCCCTTCATTAGCTGCGCGTTCAGTGGATACTTGAAATGGTGACTTATTTCAAGAAATATCATTCTATACCGACAGTAATCAATGATGCGTGCTTTGTCCTACATGATCTCTAATAGCAATGATAATCGCAAGCAAGAAATAGTTGAATTTTCAGAATGAGTTCATTGAATTTGCTTCCAAGTGGCATAATATTTTGTTATATGCTGCAGAACCAGATTGAAACTCAAGAAGACTGACGGTTCCAAGAATGACTCATTTCCTGATCATAAACTATGCGTATCAACAAACGTAGTACTGATGTTTTTAATCCAAAAAGAATCAGATCATTTTGTCTGTTTCTCACACTCCTGATGGTCAAAAATTTGCGGACGAGACAGTTGTGAGTTTACACATGGAACAGAGATACTGAAGAATAAAAGTGGTTCAGCAGAAACAATTATTCCCCTTTAGCTGATAGCAGCCTGAGTCTTATACAGATTGTAACCTGAATTCAGAAACTGATGTTTGGAGTGCAACGAATATCTAAAAATCACCGAATATTGATTGCTGTGAATGAAACTTTGGTTCAACCGAATTCTCTTCCTGCGTAACTGAGTATGTGTCCGAAAAAGAGTACTACGTAAAGTATGACGCTCTGAGTGAACTATTTATCTAAACTGATGTGCAATGTAACCGTAAATTCTCGAATTTGCAATGGTTCTCTAGAATACCTTACTGTCGTTGATTGGTTCAATCATTGGATGAGCTGGACATTGGTGCTCGACTCTTGGTCGTTTGTTTGCGGTGCATGAAGCCCGTATTTGAGAATACAAATGTGAATATGTGAAGTGGACACTGAAAATGAACAAGCTTTTGAGCCACACTCGTGCGTGCCCTGCGAGCATCGACTAGGAAATCGAATGAGAAATACTCAACCCAGAACATTCCACTAAGCCATGGATCGGCTGATTCCATATGGTTCTTCAAATAATTTGTCTTCGTGGGTGCTACTGGCGGTGGTAGCTACTCTGAGAGCACTTATCACACCTATCTCAGTTGGAGAATTTTATTCAACCCTTTCAATGATCGACCTTCGTTACCCACTCTTTGACAGTGCTTTCAACTTTCCTATCTTTCTTCTACTCCTTCGTCCAAATTGGCATTCAAAAAACAACAACGAAGACCAGCGCACGAAAGTGCATGGTTAATAGTTGTACAAGCTGAATTGAACCCACCACTGTGAAAATATCAACGTTTTTGACTCGCCTAACTAGATATGTGCGATAGCGCGAAGTTATCCATCACGAATTCCTGCATTTGAATGCGTAATGATCATTTTAAACGATGTGCCATTTATTATTGATGCATTTATTCCCCGGAGTGTAGTGGTTTGCTCTGAAATTCCCACAGCGACACCTTCTCAAGTTACTCTCCCTCTCTTTCGCCTGATTCAAAATCACGCATACCTGTATACAACCGATTTTCGTCAGAACATTAAATTGTTTTGCTTTCTTATCTAGATTTTAGCATCTTACTCTTCAACATTAAGTTTCCAGTGTCATAATCCCACAAGGCGGCGCCTGGTCAGGATAGCTGTTTAGTGTAGATTGCAGTTGGGATACTCACAAATGTGAGTAGTACCTCACAACACCAGTCTTGTAAATTAGAGTAATCAAAGTATTAATTTAATTTGTGCCTATGGTTCCTGTACAATTTTGTATACTGTTAGCGATCATTTGTAGGCCTGACAGAATAACTTGTATGTGTTATTTGTCAATTTACAATATGGTAACCTTCACTGGAAATGTCCATCTTGCCGAAAGCACTTCGGCGGCAACGTGCTTTGATATTCTATATGCCTACCTTAACTGCACGATCAAATGCTTAGTTATCTGTTGATTTTACACGTTTTACATAACAAACCAACATCTATCTGCGACGCCATTTCTTCCTAATCCAAAACAACTTCTCTCCGATTGGACAAGATATGAACTTGCGCACCCCTTGGGCTGATTGGTCAGAATGCTTCCCGGTCGACGGCTTAGCATACGAGATTCGAGTTCGAGCCCGAGAACAATGTGACGCATGCGAACTGGTTCAAGTAAAGAGATGTGATACGCAAGACAGCGTTTCCATCGATGAGAGTACGTGAACGTATAATACTTATTATTGTGTGTGTGGTACTTTCGATGAATGAGCTTTCCGTTTGGTATTGGGCATCCCCCACCCGAGAAATTCTTTAATTCACTCTTTCACATTCAATTTGGTTCAGCTGTTGCTAAATGCTAACCAATTACTTTGCACCGTATGTCATACTTAATTGCACTTTGTGAGTGAAAATTGGTCAGCTACGAATTCGGATTTAGACCCAAAACCAAGTATAAATATTTTCATTTACAACACTGTTAACTATGTTACACCAGCGGAACATGTTATATAACCCAGACCAACACCATTCACAATCACTAAACCATGACAGAATACGTTCAGGCGAATTGTGCTGCCTAACTTTAAGTTCAAATGTACTTCAAGCAAATACCAAATTTAACGAACGAAGAGAAGTTAAAAAAGCGAACAAATATGGCCACCGCTTACATAATGTATTTTACACTTGGCTGAACAGCTGAAGAATACTAGGAGAAATCGCATTGTGATTGACTCCTATATCCACAGAACTCGTAAAGAACTGAAATTAGTCTCAACGCAATCCCACTATCATAAGTGAAAATCGTGATCGCCCGACTGTATATCTGAAAAAGGACCGAGAGAGATTAAAATGCACCGCTCAAGAGAGATCACATATTTATTTCATTGCTGATCTGTGACTACGAAGCGAAGAAGAGTTACAGACAAACTATAAATTGGTGTACCACAATTTCCATTTAAACTGTACCGCTCCGTTCGGCAGGACGATCTCCACTAATCAGCCTTTCAACTACACCTAATGATGCGTATTGATTGCAAACAACCCAATGGATACTTTTCGTACTCAAATAGCAGTGCTGTTCAATCAAATTTGAATCGGCTGACGGAAAATCCCGTAATTCTCCGCCCACTTTTGCAGTATGGTGGAAGCAGCACACTCCAAGGATGAACAGTTTTACGAATCCAGCGGTTCACGCAATCTTGGAGCAAAGCTGTGTGTGATCGAACGTATTCCCGTCACAAATAGGTCAGCCACTAACCTGAACCGTGAGCATAGACATAGGTCGCAGACGATCAGTAACAGTGCTCGATAACTCATGCAACAGGCTTGGTTAGTGGTCTCCACTAAAAGATACCGTCACACTGTAATGTGGTGGATTTCTCTCTCTCTCTGTCACACACACAGATCGTTTATTTGCCCACACGCTTACTACGCTATAGTTACCGTATGAAACGCATTCACTTATCAGCATGTCTTCGGATTCATCAACGGAGTGTAGCAATTTTTCTATCCGTCTACCGAGCAGCTCTGACATCGGGATCTCGATGTGCAGCCGCAAAGTTTCCAGTTTGAGACCCAGCGGAGATACAAACATTAGATACTATTGATGAGCTCTTATGAGTTCCGTAACCCAATCCACCCATCCAGTTATTGTTATTATTGTTGTGGCGCTGGTACCATGCTTGTCCGTAATATATATATGCCTATTGACCAAACTCGTGCAACATCCTGATTTTCATTATATTTTTTCCTCCTAATGCTTCGTCTTTCCAGCTTCATTTTCGGAATTGAACATATTGCCTCACATCAGAGGCGGCATATCTGATAAAATACCCACTTATGTCTCTGCTTCTATTAGCCATCTGCCATTGAAATGTACGATTTCGCGATTTTGACGATGGTCGCTTGCGCATCAGTTGTAAAACAAGAAAGTCACAGTAGAAAACGTAACTAGAATTCATTTATTGAAATGACTCAGACTCTATACAGGTATTGTACTTTCATCTCGTCCATGTCCCATTTGCCCTTCTTTATTTTTGAACACTTCAGTCAGTCCCTTTAGCATGCAGTCCACGAAGTTGACTGCCCAACAGAATTTGTCAGTTTTCCAAATACACCGAAACATCATTACCACTGACAACCACTGTCAAGGTAGCTCACTTATCCCTGTTTCTGATACAGGGAAAAGTCTTCGACTAAATTTAAATCCCATGCTGCTTTGCTCAAAATACTTTCTAAATCTGAGCTGTAACTTTCCAACTACTACAAATTTTTTTGCAACACTCATGGTCACGCATATTCAAACGGTAATAGAAGAGAACTAAGAACATATGTGGGAGATAAATCATAAATAAATACACCTTACCCGTAGCCACCAAAATACAAGCATGACATTGGAGACTGAAATGTAATGCTGCACGAGTTTGGTCAACACCTATACATATACATAATTTAACAAGAACGAAACTCCTGTCCAGTATGCTTTTAGTCCATCACACAAAATGTTTCCCAGGCAAATTGGAAGCAGTGCCCTTGTGGTTGTCGAGCATCCCAGACTACGCATGTCACAGATAGAGGATTCCGTAGGCACCAAGCAGTACACTGGTGATACCTATCATTGCTTTTGGTCCTAAACGATACTTGCTTTTCATTCGGTAGGAACAAAAGTCTAGCAAATGCATTATTTCACTTGTTTGAATATCACTTCCTTTGCCCAGTTCTTCATCAGGCTCCACATCTCAGAGGGGCAAAACCTGCTGGACAGGATACACATGAACCAGGAAAATACGGGTTAGTGTATGCGATAATTGCTGGTTTGTGTGGCGCTGCCCTGGGTATTGCCGTAGTTCTCATACCCTATTTGATCTACGTGAACCGTACGCGGAAGCAAGCAACTAAACGCGGACGACAGGAGCAGCGTTCATCTGTCTGGCGCAAACTGAATGAAAGGCGACTGAACTCCGAGAGAAACATGCCTTACATATGGTTTGCAGATACCGATCGTTCGGAGAAAGCAGCAGTGAAACAAATGTTGCTCCAAAGAAAGAAAGCCAACAATTCGCTCGAAGCAGCTACTGTGGGACCATCAGTAGAACGGGCGAAAACTGGAGCGTCTAGGCCAAAGGAAACTATTGGAGACAGTCCAAGCACACTACAAACGCAAGCGTCTGCTGCTCGTCCCGGACCACATCGAAATGCAAGTCTGACGCGGATCCAAGCGTTGCACAACGACCACCGTGGCACAATCAAGAATAGAAATATCAGTCCATTGTCCATGAACGAACCGATTGTGCCATGGGAGCATACAACCACAGAGAGGAACGGGTTGAATCCGGCTTTTGTGGATTCCAGTCCACCTCAACCGCATGTCGATCACGGCCGTGTGTTTAACAAGAGCCCGATATCAACATACGATCCCACTGCTGAAACAGTAAACACAATAACCAAATGCCCATCACTATTTCACGCGCAAGGAGCAGTAGCAAATAATCCCAATACTCAAAAAGACGAAATTATTTATGCTTCAGCCTAATATCCCTAGTCTCTGTTATTACAACGGCAAGGCAGATGCCACCACTCGCGAACAGTAAGGGTACCGTATATTTCCTCTTCAGCATAAGCTTAACCGCTCTACGTACTATTCGAGGGCTGTAAAGTACTGAATTCAAATAAAATATCTTCATTGTACAATTTGGGTTTATTTGACAAGTTGCGAGGTTTGACGGATCGATAGACTTTCTAGTGCGGTATACTATCCCGGTCATGCGTCGACTGATCTGACTGCACCAAACAACTATGCGACGATCGTCTTGTGATCGATCATTGAGGACGACGTTGTGGAGCTTGTTGTATCTTTCTCGGAGACCCATGTCCTGAAAACCGTAAACAAGTGGGCTTCTAGTAAAACGAGTGCTGTAGATTCATAGTAATAATGGAAGAAGGATATGGAGTCATCACAAAAGCTTTAGGCGTAAAAGGAGCTACCAGCGAGGTAGTGCACGATGGAAGCGGAAAACTTGTTCAAAACAGGTTCACATTAGGTATTCGAATGAGCACCTAATCCATGACTGGACGGTAGGCATCGAGTTTCAAGTCAAGTCAGTAACAGCTTAATGCGCTTCCCTGGGAAAATTGCCCACCAACTCCAGAATGAGGTGTCAATGTCAGAAGGCATTTAAAGAGATCGGAAGCCCTAATCGAGTCAACCATCCGGAGATAAAATGAATAGTACCTGGCAG